GTCTTAGATCTGGGAGTCATCAGGAAATGTTTGATATTTTAAAGAACTGACTGAAAGTTAAACAGGTTAATGTGACATTTCAAAGGGATTTTGAAATTCAATAGCTTTCTCTAGAAGCTGATGTTTATTCTCTGGTTGTAAGGCAAATGTTGAATTTCTTCAAAGGAACAATGATAGATTCTAGAATAACTAGATAGGTTCAACGTTCATTATAGGTTTTTTCTTCTTCTCCGTGACCCTTCCACACCATGAAAAATATATATGTATACATAACAGGAAATGGGAAAACCATCTGGCTGGCTCTAAAAACATGGCTTTCTTCATAACCAAAGGGGTTTTTGTGTGAAAATAATTTTATAGATACAGACGTAGATATGGTTCCATTAAAAAGAGAAAAGAAGAATCATAAAGAATATGTGTAAATCCAGAAAAAGGACTTTTTTTTCCCCTTACCATATCAGCACTGTGCAGGAAATGAAAGTTCCGTGGATTGGATAGTCCCTCTTAGATGGACATATTCAAATCTAGTTAGAAAGACTAATGACAAAGACATGTGATCTCTACTTTGATAAGTTTGAGGAGCTTATTTTATTACTTAGAAACTAGATATGTATGGTATTATAGTGCATGTAAAATAATTCATAAATGTTTATTAAGATCATAAAGAACACATTTAGGTGAATCAATAAACAAGGAAAATTAAAGAACATATTTTAAGGAATTATTAAAATTTAGGTGAAATAATACTTAAAAGTCATTTATTCTAAATTTGTATTGGTTTAATGGTAAATAACAAAAATTTGACCTAATTGATTTCATTAAAAAAAAGTGATAGGGAAGAGAAGGGAAGGAATATAACAGCTTATAGAATCCAAGAATGGGTCACACATTGGAGCATGTGACTCTTGATCCTAGGGTTGTGGGTTCAAGCCCCATGATGGGTGTAGAGATTACTTTAAACTAAAACATGAGGGATCCCTGGGTGGCGCAGTGGTTTGGTGCCTGCCTTTGGCCCAGGGCGTGATCCTGGAGACCCGGGATCGAATCCCACATCAGGCTCCCGGAGCATGGAGCCTGCTTCTCCCTCTGCCTGTGTCTCTGCCTCTCTCTCTCTCTGTGTGACTATCATAAATAAATAAAAAATAAAAATAAAAAAAATAAACTGAAACATGAAAAAAAAAGTAGTGGAAAAGAATCATTTCCATGATACAACAAAATCATGGAAAGGGCATGGATGCAGGTGGGCTTCCAGAACAACTGAGATCTGGCATGGGAATGTTCCCAGGGGTAGCGCTCCAGTTCCTATCTTTTTATTATCTGTCTGCAATTTAGTCACTCTTTTTTTACATGATGGGAATGTGTGCTCCTAAGAGTTCTTCAGTTTTACATCTTTCAGATATTGAAGAGAAACCAAGAGATTTGTTTTTCACATTAAATCAAATAATTTTAAGAAAAGAATGCATTATTTCTCTAGATTAGATCAGTCCCTTGTAGCCAGGATTAATCTAGTTTGCATCAGAGTCCTCCACTGGACCAATTAATTGTGACAAGAACAGAGCAAGAGGTTTGGGAAGGGGAGGTGGTCATGGAATAACATGACAGCTTGCAAAGTAGCCATGTAAAGGAGAGTCAGCTCTAGAAGAGATGGAGGGTATGCTGGAATGTCTCATAGAAATTCCATCATTTTGCAAGTAAGTAAGCAAAGAGATGAATTGGTTTGCTTTAGCTTGTATGACAAACTAGCAAAACAGCCAGGACTCAACAAATGAACATAAACATATTGACTGCTTTGGCCATAAATGGATTACGTGCTATATATACTTATTTAGGTTTAATACAATCACCGTATAAAATAGGTATTAAAGTATTAAGGTATAAGAGGTATTCAGATGAGAAAACTGAATTTCAGAGATTACATAAAATTTCTAAGGCTACACTGCTACTTAGCATCAGCGCCAGGATTTATACACAGGTCTGTCAGATTCCAAAACCTGTGCTCTTTAAAAATAATAACAACTACATTGTTTTTATAAGCAGATATGTGCTTATTATAGTCACATTGTGCTCTGTTAAGACAGATGAATAAATACCCAAATTCCTCCACCTAGAATTTAACATGATTAACAAAGAATATCTTTCATATATCACTAAGATCAGCAAAGTTTTTTTTACAAAAAGGACACATCAGAAGATGTACTTTTTTTTAGATTTCTTTATTTTAGGGACAGAGAGAGAAAGAGAGCATGAACAAGGGGAAGGACAGAGGAGAAAGAGAATCCCAAGCAGACTCTGTGCAGAACACAGAACCCAACATGGGGCTGATCTCAGGACCCTGAGATCATGACCTGAGCCAAAACCAAGAGTCAGCTCCCCAAATGACTGCACCCCCAGGCACTCTTATTTTTAAATAAAAATAGACATTTAATTTTACTTGAGTTTAACTGAAAAGAAATTAGAGTGAAGAACTGCTGAATCTAGATTTTTTTTTTTTTACTACAAAAGAACCCCACCCCCCCTTTTTTTTTTAAAGGAATTCAGGTTTATTTTTACCGAAGCTCCAACAAGCAAATTTGTGTGGAAAAAAGGTCGAGATTTGTACAGACACTAGTATTGTTTATCTGGTCTCTGACCGTTCTGTACCTACTAGCAGTCCCTGTGGCTTATTTAGCACAGTTCCAAAAAAACTGCTCACAGTGGAAAGACTTCACAAGTCACTGGTATGTATGTAGTTCAGTCATTCCTATCTGCAGCACTACTGGCCCTGCTCTAGCTGGCGGAGGTGGCTGCCTAGCGAAGGGCTCTAGGGTGTCACGGTGTCAGAGACACTGGCTTCTCCCTCACAGCCATGCTGGTAAGATAAGCTCCTTCTAGCAGCACCGTGGTTGCAGCAGGCCTAGCCTCAGAATCTGCTCATCTCAATCCAAAGCTTTCAGAGCTGTGTTTCCCTACCGGGGGTCAGCTGCTAACATCATTCATTAGCGTGAAATTCCTCTAATTAAGGAAGCCCTTAATTACAATTATGAAATGTACAAAAAGATTGGAATTTTTTTTTTTTGTGGGGGAAAAATTCCCAAGATTTTATTTGGGAGAGAGAGAGCGAGCACAGGCACAAGCAGGGGGAGGGGCAAGGGAGAGGAAGCCTGACCCCAGGACCTTGAGATCATGATTGGAGCCAAATCAGAGGCTTAACTGACTGAGCCACCCAGATGCCCTTTGAGGTTGGAGTGTTTGTAAAAGAAACTATGTTTCAAATTTTGAACAGTATTGACTCCTTGCTCTAAAAATAAAGAAATTGGTGCACTTATACTTCCCTATATCTTGACCTCTTAACCTCATAATTTTGGTTAAGTTCTGTTAATTTTACATTTTCAAGACTTAAGCTTGTATTCTGTTCTGTAGCCATATTCCCTGGTTGTTTACTCTTAGATCTGTATTGACATGGATACAAGGAAGCTTAGCCAAGCTTAGCACAGTATCCTTCACCAAACTTCTTCCTTATTGACTTTTTGTTTTTGTTTTTCATATCTTAGTTTGCTTTATTTCATCGTCAAATAGTTCTTCTCCAAGAATAGCTCACGTGAACCATATTCCTAGAGAAAGCCTGCTGCCTTTGATCCTGGTTCCCAACAGGTTTTAAAATGCTGTTTCTAGGAAGTTTTGAGGCCTATTGAATCTGTAGCTTAATGTCTTTCATCAGTTTTGGAAAAATTCTCAGCCATTCTCTCTTCAAATGACTTCTGCTCCTTTTTTTGTCTTCTTTTCTCCTTTTGGGGTTCCAATTATACATGAACTAGACCTTTATTATAACTCCTATGTCACTTATAGTTTTTATGTTTTCTGTCTTTTGTCTCCCCATGCATTATTCTGGGTATTTCCTTCTAAACTATCTTCCAGTTCATGATTTATCTTTAGTTGGGCATAATTTGCTCTTTAATTAATCCACTGAATTCTTAAGTTTGAGAACTACATCTTTCAGTTGTATATTTTCAGTTATTTTTTTATTTCCTTGAACATATTTATAGCATTTGTCTGCATACACCATGAATATTTTTAAATTATCTGTATTTTTATCCCTCTTAAAAACCATGCCTTGTCTTTTCATGACTGGTTATTTTCTGGTTCAGGAATTGATACTAAACATGAAAAATTATAGAAATTATTTGTGTGCAAGATTTTTTTTTCCCTAAGAGAGTATTTAAAATTGCTTTGGTCAAGCTTAGGGACTCTAGAATCTATTTAATCCAGTTTCAAGGACTAAGATGATTCGAAACTGAGTTTCAGTTCTTTCAAGATCCAGTTGGCTTTGAGTTCACCTGTACTCTGCAGTAAAATTGTCACAAGTTCTGTTCTCTTTTTTGGCTGCCTCTTTTGGAATTGGCAACTGGCAATCACAAATGCTAGTTCTTTGGGTTTCCTTCTTCTCCCAAATACTTTTTACTACCTTACTAGCTTTCTAATGTTTTCAAATAGGCATCTGATTTAATACAAAAACAAAGCTTTTTTTTTTCTCTAAATTGTCTAATGGTTCTTAGTAGGATAGTTAGTTCAAGTTATTGTCTAACATTACCAAAGCTGAAGTCCTGCTTATTATATACTTTAATTTGATGTCAAGTTTAACATCCAGAAAGATTCCAATCTATTCCTTCCACTATTATATATTGTTGTTATATTGGCAAGACACTCATCCCTCAGAAATGCTCCAGAAATGATCACAGGGTGATTTCATAGTACTGCCTTTGCTAAATGTAGTCTTTCATTCAGACTACCTACACCATGAGAACAAATCACATGAGATATGGTCTGGCTTAATGGGACAGAGGAAGAGAATCTAGTGAAGGAATCAGAGTGTGAGAGAAATAAAGCTATAGAAGGAGTGGTTTTAGAGACTGCAATGGAGAACAGGTTTTTATGGAAGGATAGATCAATATTATCAAACACTGTAGAGAGAAAGTAAGTCAAGAGGGAAAAATATTGGGTCTGGTAATTAAGAGGTCACCATTGTGCGTAGTTCAGCAGCACATACACTGAAATTCAAATGATAGATGAGATTAGCATGGCTCCTGGGCTAAGGATAACATGCAAATTTGTGAAATGTTACATTAAAAAAAAATGAGACCAACAGTAATCCTTAACTGAACAGTTTCTATGGACAATATGCTGCATTAGATAATTGAAAGACAGGTGAGGAGTTGGAGGTAGTGTAGACTTTAAGAAGGCAAGTTATGACAGAAAACAAAATGATGTGTGTGGTATTTTGGTAAGGAAAACAGAGTCAAGGAGAGATTTTGTTCCTTGTTTGCTTTTAGCGTAGGGCAATTTTGAGTATGTTTGTAGACTATAGGAAAGATACCAGCGGAGAACAGATTAAAGACTGGAGGGGCAAACAAAATTAATTGAACTAAGTCCCAGAGAAAACAGAAAAGGAGCAAAGTTAATCTCTCCACTGAGATATAGGAGTACAAAAGAGAGATAAAGGACAAGATTTATAGATGCTGAAATAAAGATAAGGAGGTGGGAACTACATGGGTTCAGTTTTGTAGTATCTGTTTCCATGGTGCTATAAAAAAGGTCATCAACTCATTCTAAGTGTAAACAGTCCCCTTACCTTTCACTAGTTATTTTCCCTTTAACATCTGCAACACACGCTTTTAGTTCTTCTCATTGGCTTTAAAGTGCAGAAGAAACTTTTGTATACTCCTATAGCAATCTTCTATCTCTTACTTCATGAAGTACTCATTTCCCCTTGCCCCATCCCCAAATGTATTTTGAAGAATCTTAATATAAGGATCACGTAGGTTGGCTACTTACTGACATGGAAGTGTAGGAGGATACTTCATCCAACCTAAATGAAGGCAAAATAACAACTTTTTTTTTTCTTTCCCATTGCATTTTCTTATAAATGGAAACTCCATAAGAGCAATGACTGCGTTTTATATGCTCTGTCAATATATTGCAAACACTGGGGGTATTAAATAAATAATAAATGGGGATAACGTTTCCAAATAACAAAGCTGACTATAACCCAAGTCACAACTGCTAGCAGCAGAGGCTGAACTTAAAATTACCAAGAGTAAAGCATGCATATCTTTAATCATGATGTCCAGGAATGTGAGTTACATTTTGGTAATTATAACTTTCAGTTAACTCATAAATATTTATTGAGTATTTTCTATTTGATTCATAGCAACCTGATGAGAAAGTACCAATACTATTCTCATCTGGAAGTGAAATAAATGAGGACTCAAGAGATTTAAAGAGTATGCCCAAGTTCATGTATTCAGCTAATATATGCAGACCTGGAATTCAAAATTATTTTTCTGAGTCCAAAGCCAATAAGTGTAATTTACAATTCTATATAGGCCCCTCCTCAAGTTAGCACCTGTAAGAGTTGGATGATAATATTTTTCCTTGTGAAGGAATAAGGAATTTTACTATTTGATTGTTCAACAATGCAAATTCCACTCTGTGCAGGGCAGACAAGTATATTGGCCAAAGCATAAAGATGGAGTTTAACAGACAGAAGCAATTATCCAAGAATGAGAAATGGAGCATGTTCTATCATTTGATTTCACCTTCGTATTTTAGTGCCTGGGCAATGATATATTTAATAAGGCATGAGCTAATGGTTAGAAAACTTGTTCAGTATTTAAGGTAAACAATTGCTTAAGGAAATGTGACATTACCAAAAAGACAACCTTCTGCTTGGTTATCAGAGCATTATATTTATTTACTTTATTGTCCAGCAATTTTGGTAGACTATAAGAAAGCAGTAAGAGGCCAAAAAGTCTGTGAAGAATTTTAAGGTCCATCTAAATAACAGGCGTTATGAACTATCACCATTGCATCTTAAGTAATTAATTCTATCGAACTTTTTAATGTTTTGGGAAATTTATGCTGTAACCAGACTTATAAAAATAATTTATATTTAAACTTTCTCTTAGTATTCCTGCAGATCATGCTGTGTGTTACCAAACATTAGTTGGAAATAGTAGCTCTAAACAGATGAAATTGGAGGAAATAATATAAAAATAGTTATGCTTGTTATACAATCCAGCCTCTTTAGAATATGAGGCTGATTTTTACAAACCATGCTTCATTCAACATCGAACATATGGCATTGTGGTTCTGAGAAAAAATATATCTCTGATCAAGATTTCTATCACTAAATTTATATTTATGAGGCACTTCACAAAATTCCCTTTTATTCTTTAATGCTTACTCCTTTCTATTATAGAATGTTGCTTACACACACAAATCTATTAGAGTAATACAGCAATCACAGGAACTCAATAGAAAAGTAGCTCAATTAAAATAATTACACAATTTTGACCATAAGCAATTTGTTAATTCTTATCCACTACAAAGAATATAACAGGTAGGGCTTAGTTCATGAGAGGACATGTTAATATTGCCTCATACTCCTTTGTCTACTGTAGATTTGAAGCATAATGCCACCTCAGTTGGCATAAGAAATTCATAGATCAGTGTGAACAGAGAAAGTGAAGGGAGTTTAAAAGCAAGAACAAATCAAAAGCTTCTATTTTTAATTTCATCCTTTTGCTATGAGTAAAGCAAATATGTTTAGGCCAGGGTCCCACTGAGGAGGAGCCGTCTTGTCATCTGTTAAACCAAATATTCTATAAACATGTACAAATGGCCCTAAGTAAGTCTAAACTATAAAGTTAAAATAAAATAAGAAAGAATAACCAATAAAGGATTAATGCCCTAAATATATAAAGAACTTAAAATAAAAAAGAATAACCAATAAAAGATTAATGCCCTAAATATATAAAGAACTTATACAATTCAGCACCAAAACAAATAATTCAATTAAGAAATGGGTACAGGACCTGAATATACCTTTTCCCAAAGAAGATATACAAGAAAAAATGCTCAGCATCACTAAGGCTTAGGGACATGGAAATCAAAATCACAGTGAGATACTACCTTACACCTGTCAGAATGTCTAGTATCAAAAAGACCAGAAAAAGAAAGAAAGAAAGAAAGAAAGAAAGAAGAAAGAAAGAAAAAAAAAGAAAGAAAAGAAAAGAAAAAAGAAAAAAGAAAAAGAAAAGAAAAGAAAAGAAAAGAAAAGAAAAGAAAAGAAAAGAAAAGAAAAGAAGGTGCGGGGGCACCTGGGTGGCTCAGCAGTTGAGCGTCTGCCTTCAGCCCATGGCGTGACCCCAGAGACCCGGGATCCAGTCCCACGTCAGGCTCCCCGCATGGAGCCTGCTTCTCCCTCTGCCTGTGTCTCTGCCTCTCCCTGTGCCTCTCATGAATAAATAAATTAAAAACAAAAAACAAAAAGATCAGAAATAACAAGTGTTGGTGAGGATGCAGAGAAAAGGAACCCCACAGGCACTGTTGGTTGGTGTAAAAACAGTCTGGAGGTTCCTCAAAAATTAAAATAGAAATGCCACATAACCCAGTAATTCCACCAGTATATATTTATCCCCCCAAAATGAAAACACTAACTCAAAAAGACATGTGTTCTCTATGCTTACTGCATTGTTTACAACAGCCAAGTTATGGAAGCAACCCAAGTGTCCACCGATAGGTAATGGATAAAGATGTGGTATATGCATAAAATGGACTATCACTCAGCCATATAAAGAATGAAATAAAAAAAAGAATGAAATCTTGTCATTTGTGACAATTTGACTGGAGCTAGGGGGTATTATGCTAAGAGAAATAAGTCAGACAAAGACAAATAACATATGATTTCACTTTGATGTGGGATCTAAAAATCAAAAACCCAAACAACCAAAAATGAAACAAAGCAAACCAACGAACCCAGAAACAGAATCATAAATACAGAGAACAAACTGAGTGACTTCCGGAAGGTAGAGGATTAACAGGGTGGGTGAGATAGGTAATGGGGATTAAAAGGTACAGACTAGTTATAAAAGAAGTCACAGGAATGGAAAGTACAATGTAGGGAATATAGTCCATAATATTATAATAGTTTTGTGAGGTGCCAGATACTAACTACGCTTACTACGGGGAGCATAGTGTAATGTGTAGGATTGTGGAATCACTACGTTGCAAATATGAAACTAATATAACATTGTATGTTAACTATATTTAAATTGAAAAAGTTAAAAAATGTCAGTCACCTTCAATTTATTAAATTTATTAATGGATAATATAGTATAAAACTATAAAAAAGGAGAGAAGTGAGAATTGATTTTGAATTCTTAATAGTCAGCTTTTTATTTTTATTATTTTTAAAAATTTTATTGATTTATTCATGAGAGACACACAGAGAGAGAGGCAGAGACACAGGTAGGGGGAGAAGCAGGTTCCACGCAGGGAGCCCGATGTGGGACTCAATCCCGGGACTCTGGAGTCACGCCCTGGGCTGAAGGCAGATGCTCAATCACTGAGTCACCCAGGTGCCCCAATAGTCAGCTTTTTCTTTTTTTTAAAGCTTATTTATATAAGTAATCTCTACACCCAACATGGAGCTCTAACTCATGGCCCCAAGCTGCATGCCCTTCCCACTGAGCCAGCCAGTTCTCCTCACCCAAATAGTCAACTTTTAATACATGCTATGTAATGAATGTGTGTGTGTGTATAAATGAAATAAAAGTGTGGATACAAATATCTTATTTGTTGTACATTTTGAATGTTCCATTAAGAACTATCTCATATTTTTTGAATGAGAGATTTGAAATGAAATAAAAAATTTTAAATCTGCAGTGTAGCTTCATCATTTCTACTTATTTAAAAACATAAATCAGAAAAAAAGAATTTCTGTATCTATGTGTCTGTTTTTGTGCCAGTACCACACTGTCTTGATGGTCACAGCTTTGTAGTACAACCTGAGATCTGGCATTGTGATGCCCCCAGCTACGTTTTTTTTTTTTTTCAATATTCCCCTGGTTATTTGTGGTCTTTTCTGATTCCACACAAATTTTAAGATTATTTGTTCCAACTCTCTGAAGAAAGTCCATGGTATTTTGAAAGGGATTGCATTAAATGTGTAAGTTGCCCTGGGTAGCATGGACATTTTCACAATATTAATTCTTCCAATCCATGAGTGTGGAATATTTTTCCATCTCTTTACATCTTCGTCAATTTCTTTAGGAGTGTTCTGTAGTTTTTAGGGTATAGATCCTTTACCTCTTTGGTTAGGTTTATTCCTAGGTGTCTTATGCTTTTGGGTGCAATTGTAAATGGGATTGACTCCTTAATTCCTCTTTCTTCAGTCTCATTGTTAGTGTATAGAAATGGCACTGACTTCTGGGCATTGATTTTGTGTCCTGCCACGCTGCCGAATTGCTGTATGAGTTCTAGCAATCTTGGGGCGGAGGCTTTTGTAACTGGACGGTATCATGCTGAGTGAAGTAAGTTAATCGGAGAAAGACAATTATATGGTTTCACTCATACATGGAATATAATAGTGAAAGTGACCATAAGGGAAGGGGGGAAACTGAGTGGGAAAAATTAGAGAGGAAGACAAACCATGAGAGACTCCTGACTCTGGGAACACAGGGTAGTGGAAAGGGAGACGGGTGGGTGGGGGGATAAGGTGACGTGGTGACGGGCACTGAGGGGGGCGTTATACTATATGCTGGCAAATTGAATTTAAATACAATTTCTAAAAAATTGTAAAAAGTAAAAAAATTATGATTTTCAAATGCTTGCAAGGGAATTATAAGAGATATAAAAAAACCTACTTAGGCATACTGTATTCTCTTATAAACTGTTGGTTGTAACATAATAAATAATTCAATATAAATGACTTGGAGCATAAACTATAATTTTATATATTACATGAAATATAAAGATATATAGATACAATTCATGTTTTCCAAAAGACCCTAGAAGCTCCAAAGATTCTACAGTAACTAATATACAATATTTAAAACAAAATTGAATACGCCAAATAGATATCAACTAAAAATTGCGTGCAGTTATTATTTAATTTCTTAATAAGCGATGAACTCAAACTTCTTAAGAACTTACACAATGGTACTGATGCTCTATTAAAGTGATTGGTAGAAAGCCACAGATAAGAAATGCAAAACGATTGCTTGTTTTGTATTCGTTATATTTTATTAGAAAAGAAATGCGCATTTCTTTTAACAATCAGTGTTTATTTTCTGTATGTATTATTTGGACTTCACAAAAGCATTTTCCAGCATTAACCATTTAAAACGCATATATTCATTCATTCATATATTTTATTACGTATCCCACAGCAAAGACAAAGAGGCAGGCAAGAATGATTGTTTAACAGCCTAAAACAGAAAATAGCTCCTGTATTTTCACACTACCACGTTTTAAACCAATTTTGTGTTTGTTGAAGAAGGGATGTTTTTCATGCATAGTGCAGATTTTCTTCTATTATGGTATCCGTGTCCCGGAGCTGCTGTAACAAATTACCCCACGCTGGGTGCCTTCCAACAACGGGAGTGTATCGTGTCATGGTTCTGCAGTCTGGAGGCCGGAAGTCAAGGCGTCAGCAAAGTTGGTGGCTCGCCGTACGCCTGAGGGGGCATCTAGTCCATGCTTCTCTCTTGGCTTCTAATGGGGGCCAGCAATCCCTGGTGTGCCCTGGCTTGTGGATGAATCGTTCTAACCTCCGCTTTTACCTCCACGTGCCATTCTGCCCTTCATCTCCATCTTCTCTTCTTATAAGACAACACACGTACTGGATTAAGGGCCTGCTCGGCTCCAGCATGACTTCAGCTGAACTACTTACATCTGCAGTGACCGTATCACCAAATAAGGTCATATTCTGACATTCTGAGAAGGACATGAATTTTTGAGGGGAAAACACTATTCAACCCAATGCAGTCACTTTCCATCTAACATTCAAGAACATTCAAGAAATCCCCATACTCTACAGGATCCAAAAATAACAGATGAAATAGGTCATTGTACAAAAGAGTGTGATCTCTTATTTTCTAACCAGGTACTTGGATGGGAATGTATCTTTGGGAATCTTTCTCATTCACAAATATGACTTATATGCAAGAAAAACTGAAACCTCTTTTCAGGAAAGATTCAATGGAGTAGCCTATGTACAGTCATTTTTCTCTAATTTGAGGACACTGCTCCCTAGAATATTTTCTAATTTTCCACAATTAGAAATTAATTTCACTGCAGAATTGCTCTGATTTGAATAAAGCCTACAAAGTGTCAAATAAGCTTGAGAATTAAAGTCAAGCATTACAGAGGTAAAGTAAATCAAAGGTGAATTCAACTACTTAATTCCTATCCTTTGCCCATACTTATGTTGATATTTTATTCACTTGTACTCACCAATTCAGAATCTGTCACCATAATTGAGAAGATAAATTTTTCCTATATTTGAATAGTTTACTAAACATATTAATAGTATAAATATGATTATAGGGATAGCTACTTAAGAAAGCAGTCATTTATAAATACCTTTAATCAATATGCCAACATACCCTTTGACTAATTATATCTCTTATTCATCCTTCAAGTCATAATTCAGCATTATAATGTCAGACCCAGTTTCCTTCAGTAATTGAAACCCCTATTAGATGTTCTTGCAGTGGCCTGTACAGCTTCTTTGTAGCTTTTACCACTGTTAATTTTGTATTGATTTTTGTGATTATTTAACTACCATCACTCTTCTCCACTAGACTACAGACTCCATAGAACAAGTACTGTGAGGTATGTATATTTTATTTACCTTTGTTTCTCTGCCTAGTTCAGTAGTTGCTGAATAACTGAAAAAATTAGAAATGCATATTTACATATAAAAAGTTGATATGTGAATCATGAATCAATCTCATTAATGTGTTAAAGAATCCTTTACCAAGTGAATGTCTCCTAAATAAGCATTTTACTAATAGAGTTACTATTGGGTAATAAAAACATTAGGGGTATATTCCTTAATATATCATATACATTTCTATTTCAAATAGACTTGGTTGAATTATTTCGAATAGCTCAATTTAAAATCCTGCAGGTTTCAGGGATCCCTGGGCGGCCCAGGGGTTGAGCGTCTACCTTTGGCTCAGGGCGTGATCCCGGGGTCCTGGGATCCAGTCCTGCATCAGGCTTCCTGCATGGAGCCTGCTTCTCCCTCTGCCTGTGTCTCTGCCTCTCTCTCTGTGTCTCTCATGAAAAAATAAAGTCTTAAAAAAAAATAAAAATGCAGGAATCAAATAATGACATATTTTATTATGTGTCAAAGGCATTCTGGGAAAAAACATAATTAACTTCAAATAGAAGTTTCATGAAATATTCTCTGTGAGGGCTATTAGAGTAATTCTGCATTTTTACTTTGTAATACATGAAAAAATGGTATATTTCATACTGTAAAATGCCTTTAAAACAATGAACACTAATTTCAAAAATGACAATATGATGCATTATAAAAATACTTTAAAATTTAAAATTTGCATAATACCTATATTTGAGAGGACTATAATACTACTTAATTATTTCTAAATAAAAATTAAAATTTCTTCCATGATCATTACTAATTATTTGACCCACAGAAAGTCTGTTGCAAATGTGAATATCTAAATTCAGAATCTAGAGCATGCAGATACAATTATAACTTCTCTCTTTCGACAGCTTGAATTTACATATTTAGATATTCACAGTATTCTTCATTTTAAAAAATTTCCTGAGCTTAGAGAAAGGACTGTATTTCATAATTAAATATAATGCTCAGATAAACACATTTTTCCAGTTTTGAGATGCTGCTGCTCCTTGAGTTGAACTTTCTGTGTCATGCTAATATTTCTGACATTTTCTTTCTAAGGAAAAAAATGGTAAATATCCTTAATTTCCACACATATATAGTATATCTCTTAATATAGATATAAATTCTCATACTTTCTTACATTAAGTTGTTCAGTAATATCACAACAAAAGAAGAGAAACTGGGGGGGGGACTTAAAGGATCAAATGATGAAAACTTTCTCATAATTTGATGGCTGCTCTGAGCTTGGCTGAACGAGCTCTGGGGTTTTCTTGTACCTCCTGATCATCTGGGGTAAGTACTTTCTTGTGTATTAATTCCCACATTAAAGGGGCCTTGCTTATAGAGGCTCCTTCCATGTTTTCACGACCTGAACCCAACTGTAATGCTTGTATCACCTTCTGTCTAGCACTAAGATTAAACCTTTCTGTCATGCTTATCCCAAGCAAGAATCGTTTGACAATGCGATCCTCTAATGAATGGAAGGAGAGTGCAACAAGACGGCCACCAGGTCTCAGGAACTTTTGAGCTGTCTTCAATCCTGTGTAAAGTTCATTGAGCTCATTGTTCACAAATATTCGAAGAGCTTGGAAAGTCTTGGTAGCAATATGGGTAGATCGTTGTAGCAAGTCTTTCCGTGCAAAAACAGCAGAGGGAGGAAATGCACCTATGAGTAAGTTTTGTAAAAACAGGAAAAGAGGACAGGAAATATTAGTATTTTCCATTGTAGATCTACTGGGTTGTGTGTGCAAATATTTAAGGAACTAGGTTTCATTATAAAATTGTGGCATTTCATCTATACTTCTGTTTTATTTCCAAGCATTCTATCAAGATTTAAACTATTGTGTCAGAAACAGCTTTTATGACTCATAAGAGTAACCAGAGTCAAACAAGGAGTAGAGAAAAAGGCAGACAAATATTTGGAGAAATAGTGACTTAAAAAAACTTCCCAGCTTAGGTGAAAAATACTAACTCACTGATACAAGAAGTTCAGTGAACCACAAATAGAATAAACAGAAGAAAACTACATGTAGGTACATCATAAACTACTACAAGTTAATCAGAGAAATCTTAAATACAATAAAGAAATATATTACATAAAAGAGAACAAAAATATGATTAATAGTTATTTTCTCATTAGGACAATGGAAGCTATAAGATACTAGAATAACATTCAAATTGTTGAGGAAAGAAATTTGTCTTCCAAAAGGCTATCTAAAACAATTTTTCAGAATTAAAGGTTCAACAACATTTTCAAATAAATAAAAATATTAGAGAATTCATTGCTAATATATCTGCATTCAAGAAGTGCTAGAGAAAATCATGATGAAATAAAATGATACCAGATGATAAATTGCATATACAGAAAAAAGAAATTATAGATATATCTATATAGATACCTATATGTCTATATATATATATATATGAGTTCTCTAAATTTCTTTAAAAGACAGGATTCTTTAAGTGAATTTTTTTTTACATTTATATACATAATATAAGTATAGATATGTACAAAGAATTAGAATGGATAAATGGATACTTTGGCAAGGTTCATTTGATTTACTGGTAGTTAAAGTTGCATATTGTGATCCCTAAAGCAACCAATAAAAATAATGCAAAGAAATAAAGCTAATAAGATAATAGAGCATAAAAACAGTTTACAAAAAATTATTGCATAGCATAAAAGGTAGAAGAGGTCTCTAAAAATGAGACAAACAGAAGAGGAATAGTAAAATAGCAGACAATAAAACCAAATATATTGATAATTACATTAAGTATAAATGTTCTAAATACTCCAATATAAATGCAGAGGTTATCTCACTGAAAAATAAGCATAAGTATACATTGTCTACAGAAATATATGTTCAATATAAAAATACAAATAAAAAAGAGTAAGCAAAAGGCTGTGAAAAGATAGGCCATGAAGACAGAAACATAAAAATGAGAGATCATATTAATATTAGAAAAACTTTTAAAAAGGAGAATTCCTAGACCCAAAGAGGAACATTTCTTATTGAAAAAAGGTCGATATTGCAGGAAGATACAACTATAAATGCATATGCACCAAGTAACATAGTTCTCAAAACTTAGATATCTCCATGAAAGACATTTATAAAACAATTGTTTTTTCACCAAGTTGTCAAGTTAGTTCAATGGAGAAAGAACAGATTTTTAATGAAAGTGATTATAATTAAAGATGAGCTTCAACTCTTACTGCACATTGTACACAAAAATCAATACAAATATGGAACACAGACCTAAGAGTAAACACTAAAGATAAAATACATATCTGACAAAACTCTAATCCAGAACATGTAAGTTATATCTCACAACTTAACAATAATAAGCCAAACCAACTATGTTCAAAAATTTGAACAAACATTTCACAAAAGATATATAGTCAATAAACACAGGTAAAGACATTCAACATTATTAGGCATAAAAATGCAAACTAAAGGGCAGCCCTGGTGGCTCAGTAGTTTAGTACCACCTTCAGCCTGGGTCGTGTTCCTGGAGTCCCGGGATCGAGTCCCACGTTGGGCTCCCTGCATGGAGCCTGCTTCTCCCTCTGCCCGTGTCTCTACCTCTCTCTCTCTCTGTGTCTCTCATGAATAAATAAATGAAATTTTAAAAAATGCAAACTAAAACCACAGTGAACCACTACACATTCATTAGAACTGCAAGACTGACCCAAAAAGAAACAGATAATCTGAACAGAATTATTACAAGTGAAAGGATTAAATCAGTAATCAAAAGCAACACACAAAGAAAAGAACAGGCCAGGATGGCCTCTCTCCTGAATTCTGACAAATATTCAAATAATTAAAAACATTACTTCACAAATGCTTCCAAAAAAGTTAAAGGAAACAGAATACTTCTCAAATTACTTTATGAGGCAAGTATTACTATGAAACTAAAACCAAAGGCACCACAAAAAATTACAGATCAGTATCTCTCTTTTAAATCCTCAACAAAATACTAGCAAACTCAATTCAGCAGCATATCAAAAGTATTATACATATGACCAAGAAGATGGTCATGACCAAGGATGGTTCAACAAATGAAAATTGACCAATGTCATACATCGTATCGACAAAATGAAGAAAAAAACCACACATGATTATTTCAATTGATGCAGAAAAAGCATTTGAAAAAACTCAACACCCTTTAATGATAAAAACACTCAAGAACTAGGAATAGAGGGAAAGTACTTCAACATAATGAAGCCCATATATGAGAACCCAAAGCTAACATTATACTTAATGATGGCAGACTCAAAGTTTTCCCTCAAAGATCATGAACAAGACAAGAATACCCATTTTCACCACTTCTACTCAACATAGTCCTGAAAGTTCTAATCAGAGCAATCAGACAAGAAAAAGAAATAAAAGGCATCCAAATTGGAAAAGAAATAGTAAAATTATCTCTTTTTACAGAGGACAGGATCTTATATGTAGAAAACACTAAAGATTACACATATACAAACACACACACAAACCTTATGAAAGCTAACAAATGGATTCAGCAAAGCAGCAGTATATAAAATTAACATGCAAAAGTCGTGTTTCTATACTTAATAATGAACAATCTAAAAATGTAATTTAAAAAATTCCATTTGCAATGGCATCAAAAAGAATCAAATACATAGCAGCAGAGTTAGAAAAAAGAAATGTAAAATTTACTCTAGGGAAGCTACAAATTTTTAAAAAATTGTTTAAGATAGTAATACTCCTCCAAATTGGTTTAAGATTCAATGCAATCTCTATCAGATCCCAGCTGACTTTTTTATACAAATTGAAAAGCTAATTCTAAAATTCACATAGAATTGTAAGAGACCCAGAACAGCCATAATGATCCTGGGCTTGGGGTTGGGAGAAGAGAATGAAAAAAGAGGACTCGAGCATAAAAAAGAGAGATCATGTTAATATTTAAAAAAAAAAACACACAATTTTAAAAAGGGGAATTCCTTAGATTCACCTAGAATCCCTACAATACTAGGGATTTCAAAATTTTCTAAAAAGCAATGGTAATTGAGACAGTGTGGTGCTGGTAACAACAATGGACATAGAGATCAATGGAATATAACTGAAATCCCAGAAATAAACCCACATATCTTTGAGCAACTGATTTTGACAAGAATGTCAAAGCTACTCAATAGGGAAAGAATGGTCAATTGAATGAATAGTGTTAGGACAACTACATAGTCATATACTAAAAAATAGAGTTGGATCCTTAAATCATATAGAAAAATTAACTCAAAATGGATCAAAGACATAAATGTAAGAGCAAAAGCTGTAAAATTCTTGGAAGAAAACACAGGGATAAATATTAATGACTTTGAATTTGGCAAAAAATTTCTTAGATATGACACCCAAGTCACAACAAAAGAAAATGGTACTTTATCAAAATTAATTTTGTTCTTCAAAGGACATCATCAAGAAAGTGAAAAGACAACTGAAAAAATGGAGAAAAAATTGCAAATCATGTATCTTTTAAGAGATTAATATATCTAGAATACATAAATAAGAAAATTACAAAATGATGCATGTATGATACTATCTACATTTTAAAGTATGTACATCAAAACAGACAAGCTCTATCTAGTTTTCAAGAATAAGGATAAAAAAATGTTGATTTTTAAATAAATCAATAAATATCATTTTCCTTAGACTTACTCCATTGGCATATAAATATGATATTAAAGTATAATGTTCAATGAATGTATACAGGAATTTTCTATTTAATTTTTAAAATTTGATTAATCGTGTCTTAAAATTTTTGTTCCTAGAGAATATCATCCCACAGAGATGTAATCCTTGTGGTCCAAATTCTATCTGGATGAAGATCTGGAAAGTAGGCTCTAATCCTGGCACTTGAGTCTCTGGCATGCTTCTTACAGAAAAGCATATTATACATAGCTGCTACCTTACTTCACATTTTAGTAACCTGTAGGTCCAGTAGTACATTGAGATACACTTGATTCATCTTCTTGGAAACTGGGTCAGAGAATGAAGGAAACAGTATCTTGTTTGTACAAGGGAGCTGAGAACCTGGCTGTCTGAAGTTAACCAAATCCATGGTATGGGTTCACTCTTTCATCCACAAAAGCTGATTGGCTGAAAGGCTAGAAGATGTTAGACGTTAGGGACCAACAAGCAGAAACAAAACATCAAAGCCAAAGCTAAAGAGGGACGTCAACCTTTTTTATTTTTTATTCAATCTCCCCATTTCCCACAGAAAGAGTTCTGGTCACTGGGAAATGTGTTTTAAAACATTTTAAAATCTGAAAAATATCAATGCTTCATATTTTAGAGCTTGGATTTAGAGGCTGCTTCAGGAAGAGTATATTGCATGTTTCAAACCTTGCATAATTCAACACTAATTTTCTCAAAGAAAAAAATGAATTATAAAATGCATTTTAATTTACATGTATTTTGATGTAAAATAGGATGTAAACATCTATGGAGCATGTGAAGCAACAAATAATGTAGCAGGTTTTTGCTTTAATGCTTTAAAACTTTGTTTGATACTATTGTCTCTAATATTTTGTAGAGATTCAATGGATGGCTCAACATGGTAATTGCTTAGCTTTCTTGGCATCTTATCACATTTCCAAGATACACATTTGAGGATGTGGTTATTAACAGCACTGAATTGGCCATACCT